AGGCGATTCGTAACATCTTTTTTATGTTGGTGAGGGAAAAAGAGAAGGCATGAATTACTAGATCTGTAGATAGAGACAAAAAAAAAAATTGTCAATTCTTTTGTTTTATAGACGTAAGGTTTTAGTCAAGTTTCAAATAGCGATCCACGATCGCAAAATAGCGACAGCACTGCGTTTCGATATATTCTCTACACTCTTAATAGCGTCCGTTATGGCCGCAATAATGGTAAACACGAAATGATAAAAAACGCGACCTCGATCGCGGGTTTCATTTGAAACCCTGGCTTTAGCTAAGGAGTATTCATCTGTATAAATCATTGGAATAATTATTTACTAGAGAAACTGCCAATAATAATAATAATAAACAAGGGGTGGGTAGATGAGGTGTATTTATCATTTTTGTATGATTAACTGAACATGATTTTTCTATTTAACATCGACTCTCTAGAAGGTCCTTTTGATTTTCTAAGTACCAACTGCATACGTATGAATTTATTGAATTATAATCTTTCAAAAAAATGAATTTATTTAATTATGACGCTGCCATAGGTATTCGAGGTTTTGAGAGCCACACAAATTTATCATGAAATTAATACTTATTTTATCTAATCATTTATATTATTATCATCATCACTTTCTGTGTTTTTGCCCAATGACGGCTGGCCTTGAGCTTATTGCGTAGAAAATGCACAAGCTTTATACCATTAATCAAGGTAAAATACCCTATTAGTCATCCAATTATTTAGTAATCTCTTTTGATCCCCAAATTAAATATATTACAAATTAGTCATTAACGTTACAAAATTATAAATGTGTTGAATTATCTCAATAGAATACCCTATTAGTCATCAAAATTAATTTTTTTAAGAAGGGAAAACGAGTTTTTGTGTTCAAAATTAATAAAGTTTACAATTGTGAAGGATGAATTGAATATATAAATATTTAAGATAAGTTATATTATTATATCGATCGATTAAATAACCATCACATCAATAATTTCATTAACGAGTTAACTAGAGTGGCCATATTGATACAATTTGTGACGTTAGTGAAGCATTTTATAGAATCTTTAATTCAGTAACCAAAATAGAGCACATCCTGTTGTTGGGTGACTAACATGGCAGTTTACCCTATTAATTAATTATGTGGCGAAAGGATTAACAAGATAAAACGAGACACGTACTAGGTTATTGTTGTCCACGAAATCGAATTATTAATTCCCCCTTAATTTCATCCAAGTAGTTATTAAATAGTCGCATTATTGCTAATAAAATATGTATTTATATTAGGTATGGACAACTACGACAAGATTTGCTTAGCTTTTATTCCTCTCACGTTTCAACATTAAAAAAAGGAAAAATGATTGGTTCAGTTGATAGTAAATTTTCAAGTATGTCCTCCTAAATGTTAAAAATAGTAAAATAACGTAAAAATGCTCTGAATACTACCAATAAATTATAAACAAAATATAATTATAAATAGAGATAGATTATACGTGTTGAGATGATTATATCTTTAAAAAAAATTAAATTTTTATATAATTTAAGTAATTTTTTTATTTATTTTAATAATTTGATATTCTTTAAAAATTTAATACATTTTTTGAAATTTCATACTCTTAACACAAAATCCTAGATATATTCTTGATTATAAAAATATATATTTTTGGAACATGGGGAAGCGTAGTATTGTTTTTGGAAATTGATAGCGTTGAGGCTACTCAGATTCTACAACGGAGGAAGCAAGGTTCGGCTCCTTTTTCTTTGACGGTTCGGATTTTTGATCTGTTAAAGAGAGAGTGGTGTGTCCATATTCCTAGAAGTCTCAGGACTGGTTGTTTATTTCAGAATGATTAAGTGTTGAATGATTCAAATGCTGAATGATTCAGAGGCTCTATATGAATTAACTCTGATGTGACATATTGTTTGATAATAGCTCTGAATCATTCAGAATGTAATTATGTGCTGAATCATTCAACACTGTTTTGTTGAATCAGATAACACTAAATCATTCAGAGGTAAAAAATAAACACACTTAATATTAAATGATTCAACATTCAACGCTAAATAATTATATTTAGAGCCAAACAAATAGTCCCTCAATGTCATTTCAATAAGCTAGCTAAAATGGCAATGGTCGGGGTTGATTTTGCCGATGCTGCAGGAGGAGGAAACTGATGCTGGCGTGAGGTCACGGTGTTGGGGACTTTGTATTTGTAATCATTTTATTTACCCAAAAAAAAAAAAACTCAGACTTCAGTCATATATTACTTTTCGGCAATTTTACCCCAATGACACCCTAACAATAAAATATTGCGGATCATGAGACGCGCCTTTGCAGGGTTATGTCTGAACTGACGCTACGTAGTAAAGGCGCAGATCATAAAGCACGCTTTTGCTAGGAAATTTGACACATAAGGGAAGGAGCGGATCATGAGACGCACCTTCAATTATTCACTAATTATTGCACACACCATTATTACGTGAGCCAACTCTCTCGTTCATCATCTCTCCCCTATAAATACCCCGAATGCAAGCATCAAACCACACCAAAATTAATTTCAAATTCTTCCTTATATTGTAGAAGATAATTTTTTTATTATATTATATTTATTTTATATTTAATTATTTGACTAAATTTTATTGTAATAATTATTTTACATTATTTTTTGTGGTTGTAACATATCTAGAGATATTTTACCGATACGGTAACAATATTAAATTATGTTATTTAAATTATTGTGATTTTTTAAATTTTTTATCATTAGTTTATATTTTAATTCGTATACAATTTATTTAATTATGTGTATTTTAGTTTTTTTTGCTGATATATGACTCTCATTCTTTTAAACTCTCGAAATGAGACGTATTTCAACTATTGTTTACCATGATGGAGAAATCCGGGAAGATGAAACCGGTGTATTTCAGCTTCAGGAATAGATTGTACGAAACCAAATTGGCAGAGCACGCAATCGATAGGATGTCACTCGACAATAGCATAACATATCAGAGGGATCACCGTCATCCATACATCTAATGAACCACTTAAGTGAGGTGGAATGCGACGCCTCGTTTCGTCAGTAGAATAAGGAGTCCATTGATACTAAAACAAATATATATATAATTATTATAAAAAATATTCTAATTATATAATGATAATTAATTAAAGGTAAAAAATAATATTTAAATAAATACGTCTATACCAATCTTTTGATCAATGAACAATCGAATTTCTTCCAATTCGTCCAATATATCATTGATGATTTTTCATTATAGATGACCACCTATTCAGTGTAAAATAAATTCATTATATACTCAAAAAAATATTTATATACAAACTCAGTATTAAAATTACCTCAACAATAACGGGAAGATTAATAGATTTTTCACGACCGAACATAAAAAGGACAAGCGATACAACGTCCGTTATTGCAGAAGAATGAGACATCTTCCGATAACATTTTTTCAATAATCAGTTGCTCGACACATTTCTCTATACAGATATGCCAAAATCGTGGAGCCCCAACTGAATGAGCCGATAACTAAATAATATACGAGATGATGCAATCACATAAAATGAACTTAGTTGCAATATACAAGCCCGAGCAAATATTTGAGCTTTTTCCTCGGAATAGTCGTCGCTCAACCGTCGAAAATTTCTAGCCAACCATGATAATGATATTCGACCACCGTTGAAATTATGCGGGATACCTCCAAGATACTTATCGCACAAGGAATATCAATCACTATCTGCCACACCATAAATAACATTCCCATCTACCGGAAGCCGCAAATATAAGAAAACATCCTCAAGCGTAATAATACACTCCCCACACGGAAGATGAAATATGTGTGTCTCCGGTCTCCACTTCTCAATCAGTGCATAAATAAGGTTGAATTCAATGTTACAGTGCCCTTCATATTTCACTATGTAACCGAATCTAGCCTCAACTAAATACGGCTAGACACGACTAGTTATCTCTAATTTATCGTTACAAATAAGTAGATCTAATATACAAATATTCACATAATTAAATAAATACTATACAAATTAAAATATAAACTAATATTAAAAAATAAATGAATAAAATATTTACAATAAATAAAATAACTGAATTTAAAATTATTACCGTATCGGTAAAATGACTCGATATATGATTCTCATCTAAACACAATAACCCGCCTGCCATTTTATAACTACAAAAAGTAATAAAAATTAGTACAATAAAATATAATAAATAATAAACTATTAAATGATTATAATATAATAAAAAATTAGCTAACAAAAACGACGATAACTATATTTACTTAAAACATTATAGAATAATATATAGAAGGAAGAAATAGAGTGTTTTTTGTGTGATAAAAGTGTTGGATGAGGGGTATTTATAGGAGAGGGGACGGTGGTTATGCGATATTTAAGGTGAGACGGTTAAGATTTAAATGCAAGACGCAGCTTATGATCCGCACCTTCCACCACGTGTTTGATTCCTAGAAAAGGCACGCTTCATGATTCGCGCTTTACCACCATGACGTCAGCTCGGACAAAATTATACGAAGACGTGTCTTATGATCCACGTTTTGTCAAAAAGGTGCTAGATTGATAATATTTATAGAAATGTTGTCTGAAATGTAATATTTAAATGTTATGGTGACTTTTAGGTAAAATTGCCTTACTTTTCAAAAGAATATTATTATCTATTGTGTCATTTAAAAGAACACGTGGCAATTACATTTCAACCTCAGCCACCTGAACGAGACGAAATATTATTAGATAAATTTAATTCATAAATTAATAATATTATTTTATTTTATTTTTTCTTAGATGAATCTTCTCATCTTTCTCATACGTGTAACTAAGAAGCAGATAATTCTTTAAAAATTATTTTAAAATTAATATACACGATTCATTAAGTCTAACGTAATGAGTCGAATCCTTTAAATAATTTCTCCAAGGACACGCATCCGTAAAATTAAGCCGCGGGGAATAAGACAAATTCCAAAGGAAAGACAGAAATCTACAAGCTATACGGATTTCGTATGAATCAGAAACTTCTTCTTCCTACTTGTCAATCAAAGACGCAGCAATACGAGAAAGGACATAAGCTCCGTGTCTGATATGTGATTGTTTGAAGCCATGGGTTCAACCAGCAAAAGCTTGCTCTTTGTATTTCTCAAAAACCCATCTTTCTTCTTTCTCCCCGTCATTTTAAATTTTTAATAACTTCTAAAATTACAGTTATTATTGTTTCTCGTCATTAATGATTTTGTTGTTGCTGCTGTTGCTGTGTGTAACGGGGTCTGAGATGTGGTTGATTCAGTGCTTATTTTTGTGCATTTGATGATGATGAACAGCGGTCAAGTTCCCTGACGATTGGAGAGTCGATCTGTGCAGCAGCCATGCTTCCAATTGTTGCAGTGATCGATTTCTTGATTTTTGCAACGGCAAATTGTTTTGGGTACAGTCCCCGACCCAAGAAATTCCTGTGTGGGTCCGCAGATTTTACTCGGCTCGCCAATGAATCCCGATGTATTCCTTCTTTTCATCAATTCTTTTCCTCATGTGTTAGATACTTTTCTCAGGAATGTTTATGATGTGATTCTTCATACATAGGAACAATCTTATGAAAAATCAAGCATGCTTACACTTGATGCATACTCGTATCCGATATTCAAGCTCAAGTTTTTAATTTTGCTTTTTGAATCTTATGATGCAGTTTCGGTGAATGAAATAGAGGCATTGTACGAACTGTTCAAGAAGTTGAGTAGCTCAATAATTGACGACGGGTTGATTCATAAGGTAAAATTCAAAATTAGCGGCAGTTTGGTGTCATAAATTTTGTTATGATTTTTCTTTTCTTGGCTTGTTTTATGTGATTGCATTGCTTCAAGTTTATGTTTCAGTATTTGTTTAAAATGCCATTAAATTGAAATGTCAAGATACTAGTAAAATTCTAAGTTCGTTTTTTTGCGTTATAGGAAGAGCTTCAGTTAGCATTGTTCCAGGTACCCTACGGCAGCAATCTTTTTCTTGACAGGGTAAGTTTTACTCTTTGCAAAAATACCCAGTTTTTTCCCATATGGTATGATTGATATTGGAAATCAATCATAATACAGTATGAAGGGGAGATGAATAGTTCAGCTTGAATTTCTGGAATTGTTATAGTTGTAATGTACTGAGTTGAGTTAATTTTTAAGTCTTGATATGTGCTAGAATTAATGATTCATCAGTTCCTTTGATTTCCTATCTCTTTTATTCTTTTTATATTGCAGGTTTTTGATCTTTTCGATGAGAAGAGAAATGGTGTCATCGAATTCGAGGAATTAGTCCATGCGTTCAATGTGTATCATCCGGATGCCCCCGTGGAAGATAAAATTGATTGTAAGGGTTGTTGAGAAATCATTTGCTTTGTACCATTAATGTATTTCTTTGGCTTATCTGTATCCTTGTTTATATCTGCAGTTGCATTTAGGTTGTATGACCTGAGACAAACAGGTTTTATCGAGCGAGAAGAAGTGAGTAAGCAGTTCTAACCTGAATTTGGTGTCCTGTGAATGACACCGAGACAATGCATTTCCTGCAATTGAGGGACTAATTAACTTTTGGTTGATTGCAGGTTAAGCAAATGGTAATTGCCATTTTGATGGAATGTGAAACGACATTGTCGGATGACCTTCTTGAGGAAATCATTGACAAAGTGAGCTCTCCAAAGTTTAAACTCTGCTTTTTACCAGTGTGTTTTTGTAGAGCATTCAATGGCCTACCAGATCTTCATCTTTCTGCAGACATTTGCTGATGCCGATGCCGACAAGGACGGTCGGATCAACAAAGAAGAATGGAAAGCATTTGTGCTTCGTCATCCCGGCCTCTTGAAGAACATGACTCTTTCTCATTTAAAGTTGGTGATGAAATCCTATTTCTAGCATTGCACTCCCAATCTATTTGTTTTGTTCTCCCCTTTGCTACTTAACGTCTCGTTTATCTTATCATCCATCTTTAGGTGCGTTACAACCTTATTTCCCAGTTTTGTTTACAACACCGGAGTCGAAGGCTGGTAACACAAAGTGATGTTAGGCCAAAATGCTGCAAAGATTCAAGGGTACAAAACTATTGATTTAGTGGATCATCCTGGCTTCAAGAAGCTTTGGTTCATGTGGCCTGCAAGCGCTGTCTGCATGTGAGGGTAACCAAATCATTTTGATCAAGTCTCTTTCTATTCTATCCGGATCGGGATTGAGCGAGCTAAGCTTATTGGATCATATCAAGTATATGTCGCATACAAAAGCTTTTAGAAGCAATGGAAGTCTGGAGTCTATAAACTATGCTCACAAAGTTTTGTACAGTAAAGATTTGGATTTGAGTGCATTTTTTTGGATGAACTTGTTGTCTAAGATTATTCTCCCAACTATCTTTCTCTCTCTCTCTCACACACACACAAAAGAAATAAAAGAGAGAGAGGGAGTTTGTTCACCCAAGTAATTTCTGCTTTTGAATGTATTTGTTAGCAACTGTTACATCTGAAAATGTTATGTTTTCTTTGAACAATTACTAGTAAAAATATTTATTGAATTTCCCATTTCTATTCTGAATAAACAAAGAACCTAAGCTACTGTAAAAAAATCTGAAAGGAGACAGGATATATATATATTCTTGAATATCTATCTATATTTGTATTATAATAATAATAATTGATGGACTGTACAAAGTAAAACCAGAAACACAAGGACTGAACTAGGGAAGATCAGGTCACCACAGAATGCATCAGGCTCAAACAATCTTGCAGAATCGTCATCGTAAACTCCGGTATAGCTCTAGCCTGAGTTTCTTTAGATGTCATGTAGGAACCCTCTTGGCCTCCCTGATCAAGGCTTAGGAGGGGGAGAACACATACAAGTGAGGATGCTGCTAGGGTTACTAGAGTGTATTTTAATTTGATCAGCACCGGCTTGACCTGCAGAGGCAATACATAGCACAGCTTTAGTTCTAGTAGCAGATACAAAAGAGGTTGCGTTTTATAGTGTAAGTGTGAAAATCATTGGATTCTCTTTCCAATTTTGTTAAAAAAAAATCCCAGAAAATAAATCATCCGAAGCTCTAGAAAAAACGTCATTACATATCTGCGGAGTTCTAATCGCCATACAGTAAGAGGTGAAAGATGTCTGGTCCAGATGACCAATACATACCGTAAATGAACCGAGAAGCCGGTCACGAGCCAAAACTTCAGCAGTCTTCACCCATATCTGTGGAGGAAGTATGATGGCGAGGAACTGAGTTTGCACATTAGGAAGCATCGTTGTAAAACAAACAAAACAGCAAGCTTCTGCAAAATCGGTTTTTTGTAAGGATTGAAATCATGCTTTCAAAAATCCCCAAATTACATGAACTTATTTCGATGTAATAAACTTTTAACATAACATGCTCAATATCGTAGGGGATATTAAATTAAAGTCTGAGTGAATTACTAGGCAGTGAACGCAGTTGCTCATAGCCTCCTAAGGCCTTAGAATAGAACAGTTACTAATTGATCAAAAACGAAAACAGAAGATCATCATAAAATAAAGCGGCTATTGATTCAACGAGATAAAACAATACCCGCCCATCGTACCACCCTGTTTCTTCATCTGCAAGCCATGCAAAAGAGAAACCCCATAAGCAAACCATCAAAGTAGTGACAATATTTTCATTTTTACATTTGAAAATATTTTTTCAACTATTAGCGTTCGATTCATCACTAATTCAATTTAAACTGAATAATATAAAAATATTATAGGTATAATCCTTCTAATTTAATTAATTTTATTTTCATTACAAAAATTTGAATTTATAATTTTATTTAACATTTTGTGTCACTAAATCAATTAATTATTATTGACCAGATCACTCTTTAACAGGCATAAAAAACTTTTAGAAACATTGTGGGAAAAAACAAACACTCCACAGAGGAATATCGAGAACAAAGGAGAACATTATTTGGATATAACTTTTTTTTTTTCATTTGTTTTCCTTGGATTCAACACCGTGCTGTAGAGATGACATGTTTACAATTCCAGGGATTGGGATTCCATTACCCCTACAGCCCCCACAGGCAACGAACTTGTAACACTGGTGGTTTTTTTTTTTTTTCTATAGGTAATTTTCTTACACTTGACATACGCTACCTGTTTCATAAATAGGAGACTCAAATTATAAATGGTGTCCTTCCACTCCACTGCTCTTTTTATGCAGCGGCTTAAATGTAAGAATCCCCACTTATATATAATAGGATGGCGAAGTGCCGATCCCCCACTTTGAATGAGCCAACACCTTCCCCACTCCTACCTCTTTTGCACATAACAAAGGAAACCTTCCGGCTGCTACGAAACAGCTGATCAAATAACTTATTACATCAAAACACCGCTCACCCCACTCATCATCCTAGAGCTTGGTTTCTGTTTTTTTGTCTTCCGATATATGTACATTTAAGACGTTGCAGACGGGTCATTAGCTGCCCGAATGATGGTCTTAAATGTGGCTCCCTGCATTCACGAAAAGACTTTTGAGTGGGATTAATGCAAAAAAAAAAAAAAAAGGGAAGATTCTATATAGCATACTATCCAACGGTAAAAGGCAACTTAATGTTAGGAAATGATTACCAAGAAATAAGAGATCAATCGAAAACTCAAAAGGGATTGAGTTGGTGCAAAGACCATCTAAACGGATTATATATAGCCTATAAGTGACTAAAACTCACACTTGCCAACATTCGCGTATAATCTGTGCAACCATTGGATCAACATGTTCGGGAATTTCTAGATGCCTATTCTGGAATCCAACAGCTCCAACAACTTGCATAGGGTTCAAACCTTTCCAGGGAATCTGTAAAGTAACCAACTCCCATAGTATCACACCAAAACTGTACACATCACATCTGCAACCAACCCAGCCGATTTGTATAAGGAACAGAGGAGAAATGTCAAAGACATTCAAGCTATCGTGGTGTTAAAGGCACTTACTTCTCATTGGCTGGTTCATTCCGTAAAACTTCAGGTGCCATCCATTCAGGCTGCATTCCATCAGTAAAATTCTAGTTTAGAAAAAGAAACGGGTTTTTGGATAACTAGGAAAGTAAGAGAACACAAACTGAACAACAAGGATTATCTTTTCGTAATACTACCGTTCCAGCAGAAGACTTTGAAGACAGGAAAGTATGATGCTTCGAGCGTGACAACCCAAAATCACAGACCTGAATATTGAAGCAAACATGTTTAGAAAATGCAATTGATATATTTCGGCAGGAAGCAACCAGTAGAGTTGCATAAATAAACCATGGGTGAAATCAAGGAATATTTTTGGCCAGAAAATAGATTTGAGATGAACACCTTTACAACCCAGTTCTTATCCACAAGGAGATTTGGTGTTTTCAAATCTCGGTGCACTATAGTAGGATGGCTTGTGTGCAAATAATTCATTCCTTTAGCCTGTAAACCATAAAAAGTTCGGCTTAAATAGAAATTACAACCAGGAAAGGAAGAGTGAAAGGGATAGCAGGAGGTACTTCAACACAAGAAATCAAGCAAAAGAAAAAATACTCCGACTCCTACCACATCAAGAGCCATCTTCATTCGTCTCCTCTCATCGAGTGGAGGATTGGGTCGATGCAGTAGATTATACAAACTTCCCCTGCAGTGAGGAGCACAGAGAATGTTAGTGTGGCCAACCTTGTCCTTTGAAATTAATAAATATCGGCAGAAACCACAACAATAGAGAGGTCTAGTATTTTGAAACACAAATCTAGTGGACTCGGTGTTTTCATACACAGCAAAGCACAAAATGTAAAAGTAAAACACCATGAAGTTTAAAATACAAACAATACCCATAGCAAAAAAGAAGGTGCAAATAAATGTAAAATTAGTACTAATCACAAAAACATTTAAGACTAAAGATAGAACTAATTGGCTTGTATAAAGAAAATCAACCTGGGAAGACACTCCGTCAGTATGGAGAAATGTGGGGGGCGGGTAACTGCACCCATGAAAAGAACAACATTTGGATGCCTCAACCTTAACATGATTTCAACCTGTAAGGATAATCAAACAGAGATCATTTCAATGTAAATTCATTCAATTATACAGGAAAGTTGAGCTCATGAGCATGAGAGTATATAAACATGTGCAATGCTATAGAAGATATTTTTTGGGGCTCACTTCACATTTAAATTGAACCAGTGCATCACCAGAGAAATCTTGATCTAAAAACTTCTTCACAGCAACCTCCTGAGGAGCAAACAGAATCAAAGGGACAAACACTCCAATGAAAATACCATTAGAAAACATTAAAGAGATTTTTAGAACAAGCATATACTTTTATCAATCCATAGAAGAGTAATTTAAAAGAAACTAATGCTGATCCTCTTGGTAAATTAGCTGCAGCAGTTAGATCTTTGAGGTATTCATAATTTTGCACCACATTAGGAGAATTATTCAAACACATGACCAACACTATTTTCTTCCAAGGAAACAAAGCCAATATCACTGCTCACTGAAAGATTAATGCTTTTGGAAATTTTGGCATGTAGCAATATAATTGAGGCCATCGTATCATCTAGTCATAGTATACTACTAAAATTTTCATGAATAAAATGTAGTAGAAAATGTAACTCACAGTGCCATTCCACTCAGCTTTGTAGACCTCGCCATAAGATCCTACAAGACAAGAGTTCATATATTAAGAAAGACTGGTGGGATATACTCGCGTCTTCAAGCAAGTCACACATTCTATGACTCTGTAGGTCCAATTAAACATGAATATAAAAAGGAATCAATCAAGTGAGCTAGCTCAAATTCTTAAATTCAGTATCATTTGCAGCTATCAAGTTTAGTAGGCTGGCACAATCCTGTTCATATAAAACGTGAACCATACTGGATTGACCTGTAGGATTGTGCTAAGTGCCAGAGCAGGCAGGAGTTATAAGCTATTGACAGGTTAGACTGAGAGTAGGATGCACTATAAATAATTCATGTCTTCGACAGATTATTCAGCTTTTCATACTGTATGTCCATCCAACAAAAACAGGAACATAAGGAGTAAGGACATCCTAGACAGCATTTCTGTAATTGTGTTACAAGATGTATCACACTAATAATTGAAATACGAGATCCAAAACTTGAAAGAACAATGGAATGTTGTGCCATACATGCATAAAAATGAACAAGATTAATTGGGTTATTAGGACGCCTTACCAATACCAATTCGTTCACCAATTAGAAGATCCTCCCATGGAATTTCCCATCCAGAAACCTCCCTCGGCATAGGATAAATCTTCTCACTGTGATCATTTCCAACCATATGCAAGTCACCACCTGCAGTTTCTATCATTTCTAATGCAGATTCTTTACTGATATCCATATCAGAAGTCCTTCGTATTACTTTCTCAACTGTGGCCAATACTTTTTGAGGTTGTATTTGGCAAAACTCATCAGCAGAGCAGGACTCACAAACTTGTATCCAATCATTGGTTGTACAGCCAAGGAGAAGTCCCTCTTCATGGGAAGATGCAACATTGATTCTTATGGAATTAGAATTTTCTGAAGTCTCCATCCCAGATGATATAAGACACTGGTCGTTAATTGACAACTCATTTGAGTGGCTGCTAGCAGTTACATCTGCATTTGTCCCTTTCAGTACTTGATCAGACATTCGTTGTTCACCAAGGTCCTGTGACTCGATATCCATGAATAAATCAGGAGGAGGTGATGCTCCACTTTCCAACAGAACGGCATGTAACTTCTGAGCAAATTCTGGGTCCTTTGCTGCACTAATTACATACTTGGATACATTTTTAACCTTTCTCTTTTGAGCTGCTGATGGTTTTTCAAAAATTCCAGAAGTGCTTTCACCGGACTTAGGTGTGGAGGGAAGAAGCTTTCCTGATTCCAGTTCAGATCTCTCAGAGACAACTCTTCCAGCAAAGTTCCTCTCATCTTCTTCTGTCTGACTGCTAACGAATTCCACTGACCTTAGGGAACCAGCTTTAGAGCCTATTTCTGGAGTGGCTGAAGATGAAATACTTTCAATTCCTTTGTCAAGCAGCAAGCATGAACCTTGGGAGGCTTCAGTAAGATCAGTAAATCCCCTTACGCCTAGTGCAGAATTTAGGAGATGAGAGCTTGGTACTTCAGCAGGAATTAGGGTCCCAGGAGCACCCATCAGATCAATAATATACTCGCTGCATATTTTCATATGATTATTTGCATCAGGTAAGTGACAATAAAAAATTAAACTTTTCCATTTGACTTGACTGTAAACTACCTAAAGAAGAACGGGCACTGAAAAACAAAAACTGGTATGCCGCGTGTTGAGGGACAAAAAAGACTAATGTACAAATAGCAGAAATGCCAAGCATAGCTACCAAAATCAAAGAGAGCAGAATTTGCAGATCAGAGCAGGAGGAAAATACCTTCCATTGTTGATTCTAACCAAGTTCACGGCTCCATCATCTGTACCAGTGTAATAGCTCCCTTTGACCAGCATGCAGGGGAGATTAATTCTATCGGCTAGAACCTAGAAACATAGAGAGAAAAAAAAATTCCTTCTAAATTCTTAACACCTTTATCTTACCTTAATCAAATGAAAACTTAGACAAAAAAAAAACGCGGAACGATACTATGATGGCAAAAACAAATTAAACAATACTCGTGAATTGAAAATGAAAGAGGGGTGATGAAGACATGAGTGATGTTAAAAGGTAAACATACTTCTTTCATGAACTAGTTTAACTTATAAAAATATGAAGAGTAAAGGTCTTTTACAACCTTAAAAAGCAGGGCCCTGTGACGGGAAAGTCCAACGTCAAGCTGTCCAAGGGGAAGAATGATAGTGTTCAGAGATCTTCGTAACTCGTAACTTCTTGAGGTCCACATGCTCATCATCTCTTCAGCATCAGCAACAGGACCACCCATTCTATTAACAACCATTTCTGCAATTTTCTGAATCATGCCACTTACAACCGGACCATGGCCAAAAGCTTGTGACTGCACATACATGTTATACACTCTTTTCTCGAGCTCTTGCAGTTCAGGATCAAGCAACCGGTTAACCAAAATTATTTGAGAGTCGTCATTATCTAACACTGATACTGCTCGAAGATCAACCAAAGAAGGCATTTTCCCTTGTGCACCCAGAGTTGAGGCAATGCCGTACACATCGTAAAATCCATCCACAATTTTTTCATTATGGTTTACAACATTATAATTCTGCAAATAACATGAAATAGAAATTAGATTGTTTTTTCCTCAAAAAAGGTGGGGGGAGAGAGAATATATATAAACTAACGAGTTCTAGAACTTTTCTTTCAAAAGGAAACATAAAAAAGCCAGTACAACATTGACAAACCAAAGGATGAAAATTAAAAAATTTGTGAATTACTTCAATATAGTAAATACATAATGAAAACCAACATCAATTAGTATTCATATCCATAATGGCATTTACTATACAATATCCCACCATAATAATTTAAAAAATAACATATAGATGCATAATAGCACGGAAGGAAACACTATAGTTCCTCACTAATAAAACAAGAAATATGTAATTTTTCATGCAAACATACATGTAAGTTTATGGCACGAAAAATAAGAAAAAATGGTTTCCCATTCCAAACTATCTATGGCTTTAAAAGGACTTTGGCATCACATACAAACTAAAAAAGAAAAAACTCCCATGAGTATATGATAAAGTAAATTGCCATATAACTGAAACACAAGTCATTGCTGATAACCGCAAAGCAAAACTCCAAAGATTTAAACCAAGTTATCATATAAAATGAATAAAACCACTAAAGATATACCAATTTATATATTTAGAAAATTTTCAATTAATTGAGTTTGACAAGCAAATCAAACATTAAAGAATTAATCCCCTCCCCGCAATCAACCCATGATTAATGAGAATGGCATTGAAGAAATTTTTTTCCATAACTAATACATGACATGGTAAGTCCAGAAAAGAGATCCGTAGTTGAAAACAGTAATATATAAGATAAATGATACGTGAATAAATGTAAGAGTAATATATAATGAATAAACATGAAATGGAATCAGAACTTACAAGAAAAATAATAATAACATTATCAATTCACAAAAGAATTCGTACTTCAAATGAAATGAAGGTATAAATATACTGAAATCTGATAATCAAAGTATCAGACTATGTGGAAAAACGAAAAACAAAATGATCCTTAATACTTTTTTTCTTCTATAAAATTGTCAATTACTAGTGCTTCAAACAGGAAATGCAGTTTCGGAAAACCTAATTATGAAAAATGTAAGTTCAAAATTGAAGCACGAAAAATTATATTACCCAATAACGAAGCGAGAGGACCTCAACGAAAATGCTGGTATCGGTGCCGGCGAGGCTAATCCTTTTAGCTGCGTCGATCTGAGCAGTCTCGGGATCCGAGGCACTGATCGCCAGAGCCAACTGCATCTGAAACTCTTCCTCTAATAAACTAAAATCCACCTCATCTCCAGTCGACCTGTCTCCCCCGACCGATTCAGAGGCCCCGGTTCTCCTCATTGGTCCCGAACTAACCGACGACGATTCAGAAGAAGTCGCCGTTTCCACTCCCGTTAGGTTCATCGAGTTGAAGTTGGAATTCGAGTTCGGACTCGGGCTCGGACTCAGGCTGATCACGGGTTGCGCCTCCGCCAATCGTTGCTGCTCATTGAAACCACTGCCGATGTGGAGTTTTCTTAACAGATGCTTCATTTTCGGCATATCATCAACGGCGACTTTTATTTTCCTCTCTCACTTTTATTCCGATTTCTATATTTTCTTTGTAAGAAATCTAATTTTCTTTTTACTGTTTTTTTTCCAATTCTTTTTCTTGTTTTCGTTGTTTCTAATTCCTACTCTAACCTACGCTCGCCCCTTGGCAGATTCGCTTAACCTGCTTCCTCTTCGCCCTCAAGCTACCACTGGAAAGACTTTAAATTAACCGTTCACTCATTCCCTCCAATACATACAAATATATTTAACTTAAAAAACCCACAACAACTTCAACTTCGACAACTTAACATACGATTAAAAAAATATTATCGATTTTATTATTATTTTTAATAAAATCGATAAAAATTTATTTAAAATATTATTATTTTTATTTAAAATATTAATATTTTTTAACAATTCTAATAAAATATTTAATAATAACAAAATTAATAAAAAATAATAAAATTGATAACGTTTTACCGGATTTATTAATAAAACCGTTAAAATATCTAATAATAACAAAACTGGTATAAGTAATAATTTTTTTAATAATCTTTTTTATCAATTTTATTAAAAAAATAATAATAAAATCGATAACATCTTTTTTTAACCATATATTAAAACTATCGCACGTGATCATTTCTCAAACTCTACCGGTGTAAACTTGTGTTGATGTCAATTTTTTGTACTTCTAGTTTTGAGCAACTTTTTGGATTGTCTTGTAAAATTGATAGAAAAATGTGTTATTTTTTTAAATAAAAAATATAAAGAAAATCTCAAATCGTCATTATATACCAGAGATATTGAATAATTGATTTTTGTTTTGTTTAGCTTATTGTAAAAGAAAATAGCCAGAAAGAGAGAGCGATAAAAATTAGAAGAACCATGCTTTATGAAAGAAGCTAAAATAATTAAAAGATTGCATAAAATGAATAAAAAATGTCTTTTACGCCGACAACTCATTAGTCGTTTACTCCATTCCGACATTATAATTTAAATAAAAATAATAAAGGGCATGATAATTTTATGTAAATGTAATATGTGAATACATTTTTCAAAAATGAAACCTTCAATTATGTAGGATCAATGAGTATGTCACGAGTTAATATTAAGAGTTGAATTTACAATGTGATTAGGGTATATGCAATGCATGATTATTATTTTTTATTGAACCGTTTATATAATACATAAAAGGCATGAAATGTTTCGTTGGACATGGATAATTGTTGAAAGAATATTATTTTCATTTTCACAAATCCGGAAATATTTTCTAGAGTGGGTGTATACGTATTAATAATAATAAAATTTTATATAGGGTAGACACAAATAAAATTTGAGGATGGACACTTTCAGTAAAATAAACAATTAATATAAAAAAAATCGAATTCCAGGGTGGATTGAATTCTACATACATCCACCACTGCATATAAATATAAATATCATATAAATTTAATATGTTAATATATTTGAAAGTGAAGAATTTAAGCAAAATAAATAATAACAACATTGTTGAGTGTTTTCCCCCAAAAGATAAACACAGATTTGCGTGTGAAATTGGTTCGTTCGTGCATCCACTGACTACTTGCATGCTTAAAGATATATATATTTATAGAGTAATGTTGAATAACTATTGAAATTTAATTTATTTATTTTTTGTGATAAAGACTCTTTCGTCTATATGCGCACTGAAACAGATATGTTTACGAATATGAGGACGAGAAATAATAATTTTTAAAATTATAGAATATAGATACAATAAGGATAAAAGAAATTTTAATATTTTAAAAGACATAAAAACGTCATAAATATTCATTAAAGTTCACATTTGATTAGAATTTTTTTGATAAAAGATAAAGATTGTAGTGGATGTAAACCAATTATTTGGCACGATTTAGATTTACTTATTTCTCCCAAGTGATCGAGAAATAAATACTCTAATTTCTTTCATAATAAGAGGATAAAGTAGGTTGTTCAAACATTTTGAAAGACAAAGACCGGATCCGAAAAATACTTTGTAGAAAAATTCAATTTCAATTAAAAAATTATATCTTAATTCATCTATATCTTTTTTTTATTATTATTTAAATTTAAAAAAATAATTTTGGATATGTGCGTTAAGATCAAATATCATCCTCGATACGTCCCTGAAAATATCTACAACAATAGAGCTGGCAAGAATCTGGCTGACTTTTTGCCATAAATATCTAGAGAGGACACAAACAGATTTTGAGCAACAATAAATAGAGTAACGATAATTACAGCATCTGAGTTGCAATCAGCAACAATTTTTGTTATTAAAGCAGCAGCTGATTAAGTATATCAACCAAGTGAAAAGTCACAGCTGTAGCTGAGAACATAAATGCAAATGGTGGATACTTTATGTACATGAGCCAGATAGAGACAACGTAATTTTTTTTCCTTCTTTTGATGGATGAGTTGTTTTCAACTTGCGTCTTTGTGATTATGTATATCAGATCAAGGGCCCCCAAAGACACACGGATTCGCCGATTACGCATTGACCGCCTCCTCTTCTTCAGCCATCTGCGAGACTGAGAGCAGGGTGCAGATCAGGTTGCGATCACCGTATACATTGTCGACACGTCCTGGTACACCCACGATAAGAGTTGAAAAAATCAGTTTACATAAGCATGTTTAAGGATAACATGCAGATTCATGTGCAACATCATGCTTGAATAACATGATTGGCTAAAATCAAGGGTCAATCAATCACAGGAAACAAATTCGGGATCGGTCTATATTTTGGAACTCAATATCATAGTGCTCTCAAGGGACATGGATGATGATGAAAATACTAAGGAAAGCATCAATACAAGATGTTCTCATACACACCTGTAGTAGGCCAGAACTTAGCAGAATGGAGCCAGGAAGCTGGGAAGGCCGCATATTCCCGTGAATATGGTTTTGTCCATGCATCTCCCATGAGCAGAGATGGTGGATGAGGAGCTCCCTGTATGTGCATATTTTAGACACAATGCTTCAATATATGTTGATCATAGCTTATTGCTATCTACAAAATAGAGGGAAAATATGGTGTAAAGAAGAGCCATTCACCTTCAGAACATTGTTGTGGATATCAGCTTTTCCATTCTCAATCTGAGCAATTTCTTCCCTGATGGAGATGAGAGCATCACAGAACCTATCGAGCTCGGCCTGCACGAGATATTGAGAGTAGACGTGAGAACGAGGGAGAGATAAGAAATATGGAATGATGCTAGGCAGAAAGATATTTGGTGAATTATACCTTGCTTTCACTTTCAGTGGGTTCGATCATGAGTGTGCCCGGAACAGGCCATGACATTGTAGGAGCATGGAATCCATAGTCCATAAGACGTTTAGCAACATCTTCTGGCTCTATTCCAGCGGTGTTCTACAGCGGTGGTGGCTAGCAATCAGTCATGGAAACAAACAGAATGCTAAAGAGAATTTGGAAAACCATTCCACTTTAACTACCTTAAAGCCTCTCAAATCCACAATGAATTCATGAGCAACTGTTCCGTTGACACCACGGAAAAGAACGGGGTAGTGATTCTGAAAAACACAAAATCAATTACGAAAAGAGATGAATGTGAAAATTGAGATGATTATAAGCACAGTCTCAAGATAAAAGGTACCTCCAAGCGTTTTGCCATGTAGTTTGCGTTCAAAATTGCTATCTTTGAAGCATCAGTCAGTCCCTTAGATCCCATCATGGCTATGTAAGTGTATGATATTGGCAAGATAAGTGCAGAGCCCCAAGGTGCAGCAGAAATGGTACCGAGAGGGCTTGATTTTTCAGGGGATGGGATACCTCCGGTAGATATCTAAAATATGATTAACTAGAAATCAACATTGGATAAAAGTATCTTGCAGCACAAGAATCCATCTAGAAATGCCATTTGCAAAGTAATCATGACAGCAAGACTAGTGCTAATTAATAAAGCCCAAAGATAAGATAGAAGCCGAAACGAGCTTGTACATATACAGGAATATGTATATCTCGGGGAGTATATTACCACAGGATGTGAAGGCAAAAAGGGTGCTAAATGCTTCTTGACACCAATAGGTCCCATGCCAGGTCCACCACCTCCGTGTGGAATACAGAAGGTTTTGTGGAGATTCAGATGGCAAACATCTGCTCCGATAAAACCTGGACTTGTCAAACCCACCTGCTACCCAAAAAATATTCTTTAGAAAATATAAGTAGAATAATTAAATGGTGTTAAAATAAGTTGAAAAGAAGACCTGGGCATTCATGTTAGCCCCATCCATGTACACTTGACCTCCATTATCGTGGATTATTCTGCATATCTCATCGATCCCTTCTTCATACACTCCATGGGTTGAAGGATAAGTGACCTGGAATTGAAATAATAAATCGAATTTTCATGAACAATTTCCTTGCATTAAAAGAATTATAGGGATGAATGTGATCATTCATACCATGAGAGCGGACAAATTGTCCCTGTTAGCTTCAGCAGCTTTCCTTAATTCTTCAATGTTGATGTTACCCTTGGAATCAGTTCCAACGGGAACGATTTTCATTCCACACATTGCAGCACTGGCAGGGTTTGTCCCATGGGCTGAAACAGGTATGATACACACATTCCGGTGATGGTCTCCTCTTGACTGCAGTATTCATCCAGAGTAAGTGTCAACATAACCGATACAAGCGTTATATGAATAAAAGGAATACCTTTTTGTTAAGTGAAGAGGATTCTATGTTGGTTACTGTCACTTACATTATGATATGCACGGATAACCATTAGTCCAGCATACTCCCCAGCAGCACCAGCATTGGGTTGTAATGAGAAAGAGTCGAACCCAGTGATGGAACATAACAGGTCACCCAAATTATTGAACATTTCCTAATAGAACAGAGAACCAAAGTTCATCAATAAACTAAAGATTCAAATTTACCTTGATCAGCTTGAAGAAGTTCTAGGTAAAGAGATATTTGCCTGATAACCCTGAGCCTGCTCGGGAGGAGCAAACGGGTGGATGTCAGTGAAACCAGGCCATGTCACGGGCATCATTTCAGTTGTCGCATTTAGTTTCATTGTACAAGATCCCAATGGAATCATACTATGACACAATGATAGATCCTTGGACTGTAACCTGTGAATGTATCGAAGCAACTCATGCTCTGTGTGATACCTGATAAAGAAAGCAAATAAAAGTGAGAGTGGCACATCTAATCTATAAGCTACAGCAGGTCTTGTTTTCATGAAAGTTCCATACATGTTAAATATTTGGTGGGTGAGATATGGACTCTGTCTCGATAGTCCAGAAGGAATTGCATTCTCAACCTCTGGTGCAAGAGATGCAGCAGTGAACGAGACCTGAGTTTTCAGTAGAGGTGATCCCAAGTCAATAGGCAAAAGTTGTAAGTGTGAACATTAATTATATCTATGGAAAAGATTATTAGCACTAACTGGTTTGCCACCGGAAAATACTTTGAAAAGCTTTTCCACATCATCCAAGGTAGTTGTTTCATCAAATGAAACGGTGATCTGAAAAGAAACCAAAGTTTCATGATCTCATGATATACAGATATTTGACCAAATAAAACCACAGATCCAACCAGACTCACAGTTTTGGCATCAACAACCCGCAAATTAATCTCACTCTTGTAAGCAGCATCTGCTATTGCATGGGCATCAGCGCATGTAATCTTCACAGTATCAAAGAAGGGAAGACCCTGGACTTCCACGTTGCCGAGTTTTTTCAGCCCCAAAGCAAATGCCCCAGCAAGACCATGGACACGTTGTGCGATGGCTTTTAGGCCCTCAGGTCCATGATAAACAGCGTACATACCAGCCATGTTTGCTAGTAATGCCTAGATAAAACAAGATATTAAATAAAAAACTGCAAAGCAAAGAAAATTTCAATAGATTACTAAGAACTTAGTTCAGAAAAAGAGCAATATGTACTGCTAACTTTATCCTAAGAATGAATTTGCGCCCTTTAAAACTTTTAAAGCTTAGCAATTTAAGTATTCTCTAAACCTCTATGTAACAGTTCCTAGAGGAAAACACAAAATATCTTACTTGAGCGGTGCAGATGTTACTAGTAGCCTTGTCCCTACGGATATGTTGCTCCCTTGTCTGCATAGCCATACGCAAAGCAGGCTTCCCTGACGAATCAACACTAACACCGATAATTCGCCCTGGCATCAACCTCTTGTACTCTTGGGAAGTAGCCAAAAATGCGGCATGAGGGCCACCGTATCCCATCGGCACTCCGAACCTCTGTGCTGAGCCAATAACTATGTCTGCTCCAAGTTCACCTGGGGGCTTCAGCATTGTCAATGCCAACAAATCAGTTGCCATGACAACCTTAACACCCTGGGCATGAGCATTCTTAATAAACTCCCCATAGTCCAAAATCTCACCCTCGGTACCCGGATACTGAACCAAAACCCCACAGACATCACCAGAGCTGTAGTCGATATTCTTAAGATCAGCAGTAACGACTTTAATATCAAAACCATCAGCTCTTGTCTTACAAATATCAATTGTCTGGGGGTGACAATTGTTTGCAATAATAAAAGTCTTCTTCTTTCCTTTCAATATATTGTTACACATGGCCATTGCCTCGGCAGCAGCAGTTCCCTCGTCGAGCAACGAAGCATTCGACATAGGCAATCCAGTAAGATCAGTAATCATAGTTTGGTAATTAAGCAAAGACTCGAGGCGTCCTTGAGATATCTCAGCCTGGTAAGGAGTGTATTGCGTGTACCAAGCTGGATTCTCCATTATATTCCTCAAAATCACGGGGGGAACATGAGTGTTATAATAACCCATTCCAATGAAAGACTTAAAAATCTTGTTCTTTGATTCCAAATTTTCATGTGTTCAATCATTTGGCTCAGTTAACCCCTCATCAAACTTGGAAAACTTCATGGAATCAAGGCGTATAGCCTTAGGCAGTTGCATCGATGAGAGCATCAAGGCTATTAAATCCACATGACTCGGCCATCTTGGTCTGCTCCTCGGGGGTAGCAGAGTTATGACGGCGGGGAAAAGTATCACTTGATTTCAACGCCTCAACAGAAATGGATCGAATTTGTGACCCAGCACCGAAACCAACATGGTTCGACACATTTCTACCACCTAATAAATCTGTTCGGCTATAATTCTTAGAACCAAATGGTGACAGTGAAGACACATACCTTGAAGGAGTGTACGAAACTGGTGATCTACTGTTTATTTCACCATTGCGTGATTGCTTGGATTCATTAACCAAGCGTTTCAGGATTGCCCTGTTAGCCACCTTCCTCGCACGCTCCATGAAACAAGAGTTTTTCTTTTTTTACTTTTTCTTAACAAGTTTTGGTAAAAGAAATGCAAACAAGAAGAAAAATGGAAACTTGGGTCGTTGCGGAAAAGAGGCTAAAAGGCTTATTTTTTGAAGAAGGCTGGTGGACTGTTGTTAGTGATATTTGTATGTATATATATACATATATATAGCAAATCGTATATATGGTTGCATTTAAATCATGAATGAAATCTAAAAGATAATAAAGATCTAATTTTCATGAGAAAAATAAAAGGAAATTTGTGGGCTTCAAAAGCATGGTAAGTGGTGGGTGGTGAGTGACTTTACACCTAAGTAGGAAAAGATATTTTTTTTCACGAGGATAATACATATCATACTCAGCAAATAAAAACATCACAAATCTCCGGAAAAAATGAATGGCATGGAAAACAGATTGAGATTCAGTGGATCACAATTCATCTCATCCCTCTTATTCAAACAAACCCAGAAAAAATTATCTATTTTTGTTTAAAAAAAGATTGTACCTTGTTTTCAAGTGAAGCTTATATGGTGGCAGAATCTCTTTCACAATCAGCTTATCCCTCCACCATCACATGTTTAAAATACAAAAAACTAAAAGAATTAACTGTGGTGTATGCGGAGTCCCATTACCTCTAGAAACCATCCTATTCTCAAACCACACATAAAAGAAAAATAAAGATCAATTGATTGTATATTATAATTTTTTAATAAAAAGTATCGAAAGATGGGAAAAAAATTCTTTATTTTTAAATGTGATTAGGCACTTGATTATGATCATATTGATTTCAGTTTGTCGGGCTTTGCTGCAGAAGCATATGGTGCAAAATATCTTAAATAGTTATGCGCTTTTGAATTAATTTCCATGGACCTTGGATGCGGAAATGTAAGCCCTACCCTCCCTATGGCTCATTAAATAACCAAAATCTGTCGCAGTTAACGTATAGATCATAATGTATTTTAATTAGTGTAAACTATACAAATGGTCATTCGACTATAGGATACTATTTTATTAAGTCCATCAACTATTAAAAGTTACAAAATGGTCATCTGACTATAGAGCCTCCAAATTTTTAACAGAAAATGACAAGTTCGAAACATAATTAATAGTTAGGTGACTATTTTGTAACTTTTAATAGTCAAGTGACTTAACAAAGTAACATTCTATACTCAGATGACCATTTTGTATCTTTTAATAGTTAAATGAATTAACAAAGCACTACCATATAGTCAATGTACCATTTACGGACTTTACCCTTTTAATTATTTATTTAAATATTTATTGAATTAAAGTTATTTAAAAAAACATTAGTATCACAGCATCAATCAGATAATAATACTCGAGGATGGACTGAGGGGGCGGGTGGGGACAGTCGCCCCCTGAAAATTTAAAATTACTATATATTAAAAAAATATATATATGTATTTCCTATTGAAAATCTGTTTCACCTCTTAGAATTTTAGTTCGCCTCCCCTGAAATTTTAGTTCATCCCCCTTAAGTTTAAGTTCGCCCCTAACATAAAATTATACGTCTGTCCCTAACAATATTGATATTTCTTTGAAGCTAAATAATATAAATCTTTCTATGCATATGAGGTTTAACACAACAAAAATATGTAGGTATACTAAATAGTGTTTATTTTGTGCTTAAATGTTCTTTGATTGTTCATGTTTACTACTAAATTGGACATGGTGATGCACGATTCTGCAAAACATTAGCCTTTAAATTTTCTACAAAGGCATGATGATGCACGATTCTGCAGGTCTTGATTAAGAGCCCCCTTATTCCCCTTGACGACGATGATTTTGATCTCCTTGATGAAGATGTATGGGTTGGCAAAACGGATGGAATCTCGTTCATCAACTTTTTTGATCGTGTCCAAAAACTTGCCCTAAAGAGTATGAAACTCACCCTAGTTGTCAAGGTTCTAGGCCGAAAAGTTTGCTACGTTGCTCTCCACAACCGGATCCTTAGCATCTGGAAGCCTTTACATCCCATCAAACTCATCGACATCGAGAATGACTATTTCTTGGTGAAATTCTCGACACGTAGTGATTATCTCACAGTCCTGAGATTCTGATGGATAGGGCTGCTGATTTTTTTGAAGATCTCTTTGCTTCAGCTGGTTCTCCTACGAGTACTTACCCATTCACGGATTACCTCCCCCCAATCATTGAAGCTGATTACATTCTCCAAAATTCCAAGATTGCAAATGATGAAATCAAGAATGTCGTTTTTTGACATAGCTCCTCTCAAAGCTTCCGGAATAGATGGTTTATATGCCCATTTTTTTCAAAAACAAATTGGGACATCGTTGGAGAGTTAGTTTGCTCTATGGTTTCTTCAGTTTTCAATAGGGGTTCTCTTCAACCGAACAATTCTGACTCTGATTCTGAAGTGCCCTAGTTCATCATCTCTTTTCAATTTTTGGCCTATAAGCCTATGCTCGGTTCTCTACAAGACCATTACCAAGATAATAGTTCGTCAATTGCATCACATTCTCCCTTATCTCATTGGTCCCATCAGACGAGCTTCCTCGAATCTCTAAGCATCTCTGAAAATAATATTATCAACCAAGAAATTATTCACTCTATGCAAGCCAAGAAGGGTAAAACTGGTTGGATGACCATTAAGGTATACCTGACGAAGGCTTTTGATCGTCTCTGGTGGAACTTCATCACAGAAACTCTTTATGATGTGGGTATTCTTGAGTCTCTTATTCGGATTATCATGCATTGTCTGACTTTATCCTCCATGCAGGTTCAGTGGAATGGTTCTCTCAATCGCTCCTTCTGGTCTAAAAAAGGAATACATCAAAGAGACCCTTTATCACCGTATCTCTTCATCTTAACTATGTAATGACTGAGCCATCACATTAACCATATTGCTGCCTCTGAAAATTGGTCGGCGGTCGGCTTTTCAACTTGCCTGTGGAGGTACTCGTGTGTCCCATTTCTTTTTCGCAGATGATTTAATTATCTATGCCAAAGCTAATTTCGGCCATGCAGAAGTTACTGAAAATGTGCTCAACATTTTTTGTCTCCATTTCGTTAACCAGCAAAAAACAAAGGTCTTTTCGGTTGCTGCTATCCACGCTATTAGCACTCGGTTCGGGTTCCAGCCGGTCACTGATCTTGTGGGTCTATTTAGGAGTACTTTTTCGTTGCTAGTGGAGCCCAAAGTGACATATACAATTTTGTTATTGAATTTTGTTTGAAGAAGCTTGATGGTTGGTCATCTAGCATTCTCTCTCTCGCCGGTCGTATTACTTTAGCAAAGTTTACTCTTTTCAGTATTTCGGCCTATCTCATGTAAACCTGTCGACTCTCAGCTGCTATATGTGATAAAATTGAGGCTATAATTCACCGATTTATTTGGGTCTCAAGCTCAGGATCCTACCGTCTCTCTTTAGTCAGTTGGGATAAACTTTGTCAACCTTATTCCTATGGAGGACTAGGTTTGAGGAATATCAGACATCAAAATACTTATTTTTTAATGAAGAATTGCAATTCTTTAGTCCAAACGCCGACTAAGCTTTGGACCACCATTCTTCGAGAAAAGTATCGTATGATCGAACCTTGTCCGTCCTTTATATCGCGGCCAAACTGCTCTCCTTTTTGGTGTTCTATCGCGAATGTTTGGCCCCTGTTTTATAAGAGATTGTCTTGGTGCATCGATGATGGCAACACTATTAATTTCTGATCGGATATTTGTGTTCTCGAGTTAGGGCAACTTATCCAATGGGCGAATCCAAACATTACGGTTGACTTAACTTTAAAGATGAAGGATTTATGTGATGCTGAGAATTGTTGGGACTGGAATCTGCTCAATCACCTCCTTGCTCGTGAGGCCATTCCTCTTCTACAAAGCACGTTTTCTCCTAATTGCGCTCATGGCTCAAACAATTGCTATTGGAATGAAGAAAAATAATTGTACATTCTCTGTCAAAAGAACCTATAAGTCCCTTACAAAAACTAATTGGTCAACAATGAACCAGATATGGAAACGGATTTGGAAACTTGATGTTCCCGAGCATGTTAGATGTTTTTTATGACTTGTTATTCTGGATAGACATCTTACAAATGAAAATCTTTGCAAACAAGGCCTCAGTAATGATTTTTCTTGTCACATTTGCTCTAATCCGAATGAATCCCTGCTGCACATCCTCCGAGACTGTCCGATGGTTCATAACCTCTGTAATTGGCTCCTCCATGACAGCCCTCATCCTGATTTCTTTAATTTCACTCTTTTGGATTGGCTCGAGATTAATCTCTATATAGAAAGTTTGTTTCCTCCCCATGTTGTCCCTTGGAACACTCTCTTCTCCTCCATCATTTGGCGAGCATAGAAAGGGATAAATGATGCTATTTTTCGAGGGTCTATTTCTGGTCATCACAGCTTGTTCCACCGTAGCTTGGGGTGGGCATGTCAATACACAGCATCAAAATCTCCGATCTTGGCACCCCTCATGCCCGAACTGTCTAAGTCCAATGGCAACTTCCTCCTCAAAATTGGGTCTGCCTTAATTCTGATGTTGCGGTTTCACACTGATCTGGTTTGGCTTCCATTGGCGGGGGTTTTCGTGATCACAATGGATCTTTCCTTCTGGCGTTCAATAAAATTATAGGCTAATCCTCCGTCCTCCAAGCTAAGCTATGGGGTGTCTTCGAAGGTCTCTCCCTTGCTTGGTCAAATGGCTTCGACGTGTTCTCGTTCAAATGGATAATACAGATGCTCAACACCTTATTAAGAATGCCACGCGCAGCGGTCCATATTCCCTGGTTTGTGTCATTGATAAGCTTTGCCATCGAGAATGGTTTGTCGAATTCGATGTGATAAACCGAGAAGCAAATTATGATGCTGATTTCATTGCCAAGCATGATGTTCCTCCTGATGGTGCTCTTGCAGTCCTCGACTCTCCACCGGATCAGCTTGATGGTATTATGACTAGAGATTTTCTAGGTCCTCCTTATAGCAGTGTAATGAAGTAATTTTCTGGATTACTCCTCATTATCATTAAAAAAAAGTAAATTGATTTGTATTGATATAATATTATATTTCGTGAATTAAGATTGTATTATCCACTGATTTTAAAAAGCTATCAAATAATAAACATATATAACTTACAATGTTAATTGTTTTGTCTACATACATACGACCAGTCTTTAATCCTGTCATAAAAGCTAAAAAATTTATTGGGTAGTAAAAACAAAATCAACTGTGAGAAAAGCCACAAGATAGTTCCATTGGGAGGATTGCAGCATCTTCCACGTCCCGAGGGAACACACGCCGCAAACCCGAGTTCCTGCTCAAACTTAAACCAAATTCCTTCAAGCAAAGCCTCTTCTGCCTCTCCATCTCAGCATGGAGACAGTTATTCCCTGAATTACTCTTCAGCTGTTTCTTGTATACCCTACGCGATTTCTTCATTTCCTTGTTTCCGTGTACCTTGATCTTCAAAGGCGCTGCATCAGTCACCACAGCCGCCCCATTTGCCGCTGCTTCCAGGGCGCGTCTCGCCTTCCTTTGACGAATCCCACAGGCATTGCAAAGCGACTGCCCAAGTTTTCACCTTCAACGATATTAGTAAACTTCATGTATGCATGACATAGGGGTAAAGCGACTAAATAAACTTTACCTTGGGACCTCGAGAGCCCCTTCTCCGCAAAGGAGTAGTGGTTTTGTTGCAGTCGGAGCAGGCTCTAGTGGCGTTATTAGTGTTACTGAAGCAATTGGTTTCTTCGCCATTATGAACCGTACATGGAAACTTATCATTATTACTCATCATCTTGAAAGACATTCATATCAGGGATGATGATCCATTATTATCACTTGTACTTCCATAGTCTCCATGTACCGCCGCTGATTGAAGTGAAGACGACAAGCAGTATGTTCTTGCCTCGAGATCAGCAGATGAAGGAGAAGCAGTAATTTGGGGAAGTGAAAGAAAAAGCTGAAGATGCTGTTGTTCATTTTGATCCTCGGTTATTTACAAGTAACACCAAGAGGAGCATAAAAATATAGTAATAAATATGTGTTTATATTTCCAATAATCAACCTAGTTGTTGCTCGTATCTGAATCTGCAGATCCAATACGATCTGTTTTCTGCATATGTCCCTTCTGCTCACACACGTTTCTGTTCTGTATATTTCAAGGTTGGATCAATAAACTTTTATCAAAATTAAGAAACTTATGATTCAGATAATTCACTAGGAGAGATGAAACAAGGTCGATGGTAGAGGACGATCATCATGTATACACGTTAAGAAAGAAAATACGAGATTTTATTGTATCAAGTACACAAAGATAACTTGGATAAACAAGCGAAAATCGCCAACCCTTGACAGCCTTACAACATTCGATGACAAGGTTTCAGGTCAAGTCATTTCAACGTAGGACGCTTACGATGATATTTGGTTCAAGGTGAGCAGGCAAAACTTGAGTGATATATAAATTTTGGGGATAAATCCTCACTTTTAATTTTTTTAATGATGAAAAGACATGCTACGTAGAGTGTTGTGAATCACTCCTGTGTTGTATGCATGAAAATGGTCTGGGATTAGATAAATTTTAGATATATAAGTATTATATATTTTTTTATGATTTATACTAGTCCATGTTTGTATTGTATATAGACTTGATGGTATACATATTACTGGTCCACATATTAATTTTTTATTTTATTTCTTACTCAGCATTAAAATATATACTATGCATTTCTTATATTTAAATTGTTGTTGTTTATCATCATATAATCTATTAATGAAACCACAACTAGTACGTCTTCTAACTATAGTTCTTAACCTAATTGTTCTTAGATACTATGAACAGGTTTTTAGCGGCGTTTTTAAGCGCCGCTAAAAGCTTTCCCGGTGCGAGAAAAAGCGTCAACAAGTCAAGCTCTACAGCGGCATTTTTCATATAAACGCCGCAAAAAGTGAAGCTATATAGCGGCATTTATAAGAAAACGCCACTAAATACCTTATCTTTAGTGGCATTTATGTTATCAAACATATGTTATGATATTTAGCGACTTTTTCTTTACAAACATCGCAATGTTTACGCCATTAATATCGTTTTCTTCACAATACGCCACAAAAGAACATGTGGCATTATCTAATAAATAAACTTAAAGTTTATTTACGACACATTATGTAGAAAAATAAATCAAAATTTATAAATTAAAATGAAATGTAACATAGTTCAACATTGTTCACTAGAATTTAGTTTAGGTTCTTTCTCTTTCAATTTAAAAAAAAAAAATCTTCTAGTAGCAATTTTGAGCATTGATATGCAACTTCAGTTGATTCTTCCGCTTCCATATTTGTTGCAACCACTGCCCTCATTTCATCGTCAAATCCAAAACAATTAGAGGTACAGAAAAATATGAAGCAAAAAATTTCAGAACACTTCATGAGAACATATCTAAAACAATTACATGGTACTCCTAAAATTATATGTCCATAAGTTCGTATACAAAATGATTCCCTGTAAGACTAAATCACAAATTTGCCACTCCTAAAATCATATATCCACTTTTCTCATGTAACTCAATCGTTACTAATTTAACAATGATTGGATGACCAGTTGCTGCTTGAAAGTTTCCAACTGTCAAATATTAGAACATTCCATTTGTGAAGCTCAAAGTTAACAACAAACTATATTGTTAGAAGCAATTAAAAGAACCAACAAAGTTAACAGTGGTTTCTCATTCAGAGGCACTTTGTTGACCATAACTCCATTTGTGAAGCTCAAAGTTGTGAATGCCATTAAACATTATGAACCTTGATAAAGTAGTATTGTAACATGTAATTTATATACATAAAATAAATAAACTAAACTTACTTGAATAAGTGAATTGAGTAAAAATACAGTTAGAATTTCAATCTCGCCTTAGTTAATGTCACGGCTAAGTTTCTTTGTAGTCAATGCCAATGAATCAAGCTCATTTGAAAGCTTCATTTGTAATTAAATCCAAATATCAAAATCATGAACACTAAAACCCTAAAATTTTATATAAATGTCCACAAAAGTAGTCAGCAACCATAGAAATTCAGAAACAAAATTATAAAAATCCCTCCAGCAGAATTTCTATTCGGCAGTAGCAGTGTTAATTATATAAGACTTGAGAGACTTCACTAGTATAAGACTTAAGAGACCTCACTAGTATAAACTTACCTCAACACGATGTTGCAAATCACTGTTCGGCTCAACCTTTGGAATTCCCTGCAGATAATTAAGAGGCTATATCAGACTCAAAGGATTCAGCTCAGTTATAAAGTTCACACTATTAAAATAAAGATTCAGCTCAATTCTAAAGTTCACACTATTAACCTAACAATGGATTCAGCTCAATACTAAAGTTCACATTATTAACCAAATAGAACCTAATTCCAAAGGAAATGATAACCACTGTGAAAAAGCAAGGAGAGAGATAAGGAAGAGCGGATAGAATAGATCCATCAAAACTAAATATAAAAGTGTGTTGCAACTTGTATCAAAGTTGAAATACACAAATAAAAGTTGAAAATTGCAAAATCACTACAATAGGTGTAACAGTTGTAAATGTGTGCTGAAACTAAAAGCAAAATTATGGGCATTCAGTGCAACATAAATGTATTACTTTTAGCTGAAAGCTGCTGTTTTCTCTAAAATGCAATGCATTAAAAAGCAAAACACGTCATTTAACAGTAGACAACAGAAATCTACAAACCAAAAAAATGTGAACTAATCTAAAATGCAATTCGAAGCACAAATTTTTTGTTTCTCCTTGTTTTTACACAAATTTAGGAGCATGTTAAAGCTTTACAAGATAATATATGAAAGAAAAAAAGGGGGGGGGGGAAACCACAGCCTAAAAAAAAAGTAGTGTTATCATCTCCATTAGTATTAACTTCAACTTTCGGAGAATCTTTGGTACCTGAAATTTCATTTCCATGTCCATTAACGTCATTATGGACAACATCCATTGACTGTTACACCTCCCGCAAAGCAAAATTCTACTAAACCTAAAACAGATCTGGCTTCAAAATGGATGATTGGGAATAAAAGTTGGATCTTTCAATCTCAAATCATAAACCCATTAAGCCAAGTGGGTGAAGAGATTCCATAAACCTTTCTCTCAAAGTTGAAGGAAAACCACTAAGCTATGTTAGTTTGTGAAAATCACATATAACCTATAAAGCAAAAGACCAAAAAAACTGATGAAATAAGAAAGCCCAGTGTTAAAACTGGGACCGAAGAGAGAAGAGAAGAGGTGAAGATACGGTACCTATAAGTGACGCCGAAGAGAGAGAGAGATGAATGACGAAGACCAATGATTAGGCAGTACCCGTGAGATTCAGCGAAAAAATGAGAAAAAAACTAGGGATTTAAACAAGGTAACAGAAGGGCCGAGAGGATTGGGGGAACAATTGCGGCATATTTCTATTAACGCCGTGAATGTTAACACTTTGTGGCGTTTATTATATAAACGCCGCAATATGTGCAAACTAGTGGGTGTTTACTTAAAAAACGCCACAAAAAGTGTTGCTATTTACCAAACTTGGTGCAGTGATAATAATTTTATTTATGATTAAATGAAATAATATAACAATATTGATAGCTATATTTATTATTATACCAATCATAAGTATGACAAATGAACGAAAAAAGTGATTCTCTTAATTTATTGTCCTTGATTGTTCAATTTCAAAATTGATAAAGGTTAAATTATTTTATTTATACTAAAAGAGATCAATTTATATATTATTTATTTTTGAAATTAAGAGGTATCTCAAATATTTTTATCTATATTTTCAATATTTATCTAATATAAGTTATATAATATATACAAAAGAAAAATATTATACTATGGAATTATAAAATGGTTTGAATCTTATTTTAAAAAAATATGTTAGATCTTGAATGACATAACGCCAGCCATTGGTCATCGTCAACCCCATTTTGTCTGCTTCTCCTTTACCACCTCCGGCTATCCCTACATCGTTATCATCGTCAAACCCCATTTTCATTATCCACGACTCGTTCTCCGATGACCAGTTTCCGGTCTGCGGCAAACGTTGGGCATCTTCTTGGTGGGTCCCACGAATTCAATGCCAGCCATCACCGTGGACGATGAGTCGGACATCGAAGCCCCGCAGCTCTCGCTGATCTTAACTTCGTTAACGGGAAAGAACTTCAGTGAAGACAACAACGGCGGCAACAAAGAAGAAGAAGAAGAAAGTGACGGAAGAGTTACTGTTGTTGGCGGATAAGTGTTGGATGAAGAGGTAGTAGGTGGTGTAATCTCTTTGTAAAGCTCTCGCATTATCTCCTCTACTTTTTCTTCTTCGACCAGACCCTCGTAGGAGAGCTCGTTTCCGTCGTCGGAGTCCATCAACAAGACGTCAAGCTTCCCTGAAACGTCTCCGGAAAGTTCAGTCTCCCGTGACTTCCGGTCTTCTTTTCCTCTTCCTATCAGCATCATTAATTCTGTTTGAGTTTTCGTTAATTGTATGTCAAAGGGTTGCAAGACAATGACGAAATATGTAGACTGAAGCGAAAAAGGCAACACGTTGGAAACCGGAAGATGTGATGCCAAGTTGGATGAAGAGAATGGCTTTTTTTTTCCTCCGATTATAATATGAGGAGAGGATGGTATTAAGTTGAACATCAACTACCGCAAACATTGTTTTAATTATGCTAAAGATAAAACGGAAGAAACAACAATTACTGCAGAAGGAGGTTGCTTTAAGAAACAAACCTACCTCGCAGGACAAGACATCATGGCTTAATTCGAGCATCTTTATGTTCCTTTGGTCTGCCTTTCACATGCAGTGACGTTTCACTTTTAAAAGGGAAAAAAATTACTCTAATTGCAAAGGAAAAAAGAGAGATTCATTACAACCTAGCCCGCCTGCCTTCCCTGTAAAGCAATTTGAACACAATTTATAGGCTTTGGCCATTTCTTCCATGTATAAAAGATATATCAATTGAACTACACATGAGGTAATGATTGTGAGGATCATCCATCAAGGTTACAACAATTTTAGGCCCAGATTGCAAGGGAAGCCATCATACCAGCTCCTAGGAATAACATGAAGTAAGATACAACTTGAAGCCTAAAATTGCAGCTCATCCTCTTGCTCAGAAAATCAGCTGCAATTAGATCTACTAAAGCCATGTAAACCAGAATTCCAGCCGACAAACAGTCTAAGATGCCTTCCGTGATCAAACCTACAGGGCTGTAAGAGTTGTAGGATGAAGCGATGGCAGTTCCGATGCCAATTCCAATAGGGGTCGTCATCGCGAAAAAGCATGCCATGACTGTGGCTGATAGCGTTTTGAATTGAGCTTGGGAGATGCAGCCTCCCAGTGCAAACCCTTCAAAGAACTGATGAAACGATAATGCTGCAATTAGAGGTCTTATTGTGCATGGACTCTGGGAAACCCCTAGTGATAGGCCGATGATAACCGAGTGCGAAACGATCCCAAGCTCCAAAATCTGCTACAATCCACAAGAAACATCACATCATGAGCACAGTTCTTATAAACGATCATGATAAAAGAATGATGCAACAGTTTTTCACCACAATGACCTGGGAAACCACGACGTGCCTCACTCCGTTATCGTCGTCATCGTCTCCAGAGTCATGGTCATGTGCATGACTATGACCTTGTCCCTCACAGGCATCCTGCCCATGAGGATGACTATGTCTATGATGTGCAGCGTGTGCATGCATCCCAACAATGTGCATGCCCCCATCTTCCTCTGCCCCAAAAACCTTAACAGACGAATCCTTCCCTTCCAAAAGGGGTACAATCCCGGACTCCGAATCCGTCCCTAATAACCCTACCCGACCTTGCTTTTCCCTACTTCCTCTAGCCAAACCTTGTTTCCTGTCATAATACTGAGTCCCCAAAAATCTACGAGCAAAGTAAGCAAAGAAGCAATCATTGCAAATAAGCCTGGAAATGGAAACTTTGACCAAGGTTGTTCTGGCAAGCAAGGATCCGTGAGAGCTTCAGTACCATCCGCCAGCATGTGGACGAAGCCAGTAGCTAGAATTACGCCGGCTGCAAAGGCCTTGGCGGCAACAAAGAGGCTTCCATCAGTGCGGAGGATCCTACGGTGCTTGCCGATGAGTGGAATAGCAACGCCGGCCACACCAGCCACGAGGATCGAGGCTATAGCTATGGGCTTTAACTTCAACGCGGCTGACTCGTCTCGACAAATCTCTGGCTCCGAGGACTTACATCTTGTGTTGCTCATTGAATCGGTAATCATCTGCAAAAGGGACTCTGTTTTCCCCCCAATTAAGTAGTATTATATTATATTACCTGGTTCAATATATATATATATATAAATACATGTTACCCTGATCCTTTCTCTAATAGCACTAACATCTTTTACATTTCAATCTTTAATTTATTTAATCAATCAATATCAATTACTAAATCCCAGAAATCAAAATAAATGATTTCGTCATTTTTATTTATTTCATCGAAAGTTCCCCAATTTCCAGCAGTCAACGATCCCCAGAAACGAGAAAACAAACAAAATGTATTGAAACTTACCAGAGAATAACCTAATCTTTGATCCGGAATAATCAAGGAAAAGCATTTCCCTTATCCTGATAAAACAAGAAATAAAGAAGAAAACCCGCAATCTCTCGAGTGTTATCCTGCACTTGAAGAAGCATAAAAAGGAATAAATATTTATACAGTGATGATCGTTGGATTGTATAAAGATTGTGAAACTCTTTCAGGTTTACGTGATTAAAAGACCAACAAAAAAAGAAAATAGACGGAAGATTGATGGATGAATTATGATGTTAACATGGGAGTATTATATGGCGCGACATACGCATGCATGAGAAAACAGAGTTGGGAAGATGCAGAGAAATAAGGTGAGGGTGTCGACATTGTTTGACGAAACCGTACGTGTTCATCGAAAGAGATGGCGTGCACGGTACTAGTTACGATCGTGTGGTAACATATAAGTTCCACCATGTCGACATTTATTTCTCTGTACTAGCACGACAACATTTATTCAGCTTTGTCAATTTTTAGGATAAAATAATGGGTAAATTACACATTTAAAATCATAAGTATCTTTTTTTTGTTTAGTTTCAATCACTCAACTATTTTTATTTCCAAATCATACCTAGTGTTTCGTTTTGATCATCTATTGTTAAAAAATTAACGGTGATGTTGACCTACCACCATAAGGTAATGTCATGTCATCATTGGGGAAAAATTTAGAAAAATATCATGTCAGTAGTTATGTTAATTTTTTAACAGCAAGAGACCAGAATGAAACCAAAACATAATGTTATGTAGATTTAAAAAAAATAATAGTTGGATGACCAAAACAAAACAAAAGTGATAGATAGAGTACTAAATATGAAGATTACCCTAAACTAATTTGACCCAATTAAACGATTTTATTTTGGTTATTTAAAAAAAGGTAAAGAACACAAATGGTCCCCGACTATAAGATACTATTTCATTAAGTCATTCGACTATTAAAAGTTGTAAAATGGTCCTCTTGAGTCCCTCAACTATTAAAAGTTACAAAATGGTCCTTTGACTATATAGTGTTACTTTGTTGAGTCCCTCAAATATTAAAAGTTACAAAATGTTCATCTAACTATTCATTATGTTCCAAACTAGTAGTCCTTTTTTGCTAAAAAAGTTTATGGTATTCTGAGTTAAACATTAACATGTTGATTGTAATATAATAAAATCTAATACTAGAATCTCAAACGACTATCATATCTCAGTCATCATGTTCAGCGACGGATGCAAAGCATAACCAGGGTGGGCATTATGAATTTCTTTATATTAGTTGTCCATTTTACTATGGGTGCCCATCTTGAAAAATCAATAATTAGTAAGCGTGTGCTCACCCTAAAAAATATTTATATATCCGCCACTGATCATGTTAAGGTCCAACTTAGACAACCACCATTTTTTAATAAAAAATGATAAGTTTAGAACAAGTTTAGACCATTTTATAACTTTTAATAGCCGAGTGACTTAACAAATCAACATTCTATAGTTAGAGGATCATTTTGTAAATTTAATAGTCGAGAAACTTAATAATAGAATATTCTATAGTCGTAGGACCATTTGTGTACTTTACCCTTAAAAATTGATTTAATTATTTTATTAAAAAAATTAAACATTAACCGTTAAACTAGATAGGACAGCGGAGAAAAAATTTAATTAATAAAGAAATTTTATCACCCCTAAACTCTGATAATACTTGTACATATCACTATATTAGACAACTTTACATATATTTTTTGGTAATATTACTATATTACACTAAAAACTTTAGATATATACTCGTACATATTTTTTTATTGATAATCTATTTTTAATTTTAGAATTCATCCCGTAACACAAAATGTTCGGCAAAACCACCATTGAGGCCTTGTCTTTTACACATTTTTCAAATGCTTAAAAGTCGGAAGATAAAATATTTGCTTTGATTGGTGTTGCAATTTTCTCAATTGCACATTGTGGTTTACCTAAAATATTTGGTATCGTGTGGAACTTGCAATCCTATTATTTCATCTCGTAATGTCAAACTCCTAATGAATGTCTTCAACAACTATGTGATCATGGGACGGGAAATAAACATTAAAAGGGAAATTTTCAAATTTGGGGCACATGCTTATATAGGACGAGTGGAGCGTTTAGATGACAGACATGTTCTTCGCATGCAAATCGGTTTTCAGACAAATTTGGAATGCGGTCTTGCCCGTATACCTTGTTATATATTGTTATACCCACATGTATATGATTCATATGCATGTGCGGAAAGTGGCGCACTATATTATATTGTGCACCCAATAAAATGACTTGGGTCATTTTGTACCAATAGAAATTGCAACGATATTTAGTGAAATAATAAAGCAAACACGCCATACTAGTGATTTGGTACGAGAAAGAAGAAAAGTCGGGCATGAAAATTGAGTTAGATCTTCCTCTTGCCACTAGGATGGCAAACGGTGGGGCGCAGCGAGTGCCGGTATCTCTTCCCCATCCTTATATTCACTTATAATTTTTGTATCCACCACTTACGATGAGTAAAATTTTTAAATCCACACCCGTTTGTGTGAGTACATTCTCAAATCCACCCGACTGGATACCCATCACTCATCTCGTACTCATTTGTACTCGTCTATACCCACCAATTTAAGATAGGAGAAACGACGGTCGTCAATTCTAAAAATATTTATACCTATCATTTGATCAAATTACAAGTCATGTCCTATAAAATCTTAAAATTCACAGGTTAATATGTAAAATTATACATAAATTCATAATGATCCAAAATTTATATGGTGGGTAGTTAGTGGGCTAGCAAATGTATAACGGGAGGATGCACAGTGGATGGATGTGGCATATAGGGTCTCAAACCCATCACCTACCCACTACCTACGACGAGTATGACTTTTTACACTCGCATCCGACCACTATCTGCTAAACTTATATAGATATCGATCCAATTAAAGTGGGTATCACATGAAATCTACTAAATTATTTCCATCTACCGTCTATACTTGCGACATCCC